AAAACTTTCGTCCTCTTTTTTTCTTTCTTCCTCATTTTGTTCTTTCTTGTTGTTGTTGTTGTTGTTGCTGTGAAATGTACATTCCACCGGTATGTCCTTTCTGTCACTTTTTTTTAAAGCCAGATTTTTTCACTGTGAAAATTGAATTTCTCCATGGCATTTAAAATACAAAAATAAGTGTCGTTGATCAGTTCATTTCAGTTCAGTTTGTTTTTTCGGTGTGATTTACTGAAAGTACACATATTTTAATAATGTTTCATTCAATTCAGTTGTTTTTCTCTTCGAAATATTCAATTGAAGGAAAGAATTGGTGGGTTGGAATGTGTATTCTCAAGTAAGACATGATAATATGTCTGATAATGACAAAGAGATTTGATGGGATAATTTAAAAAATAAACTTCTTTCTGCCTAAATAACTAACGAAATAACATGACACTTGTACATTTATCTAGAAAATAGATCAGGAAGGAATAGTGTAGAAGAGTATGATGCTGTTGTAGGTATTTTCAATTGAATTCTGACCAATTTTATTTGAGATATGTAGATTCTGTGACGATTGCCTCGATATAACAGTTATATGATAGATGGAATGTGGTTATCAGTGGAGTCTAAGTCAGGCATTTTTTCCTTATCTGGTACTCGTCAACTGACTTTTAATATTCATCTTGGAACCTTTCATTCCTCATCCTGGACTTTATTACTAGCCGAATTCTGTTGTGTTTTTTCTAGAAAATTGTGGGAGAATGTTGTGTCCATATGGACAGGTTAAAACTGAACGAACACTCCTGTGATTTTTAAGGATGGTGGTCCAGTATTAGCAGTAAGACTGACTGAGGTCTTAGGTAGAATTTGGGAACTGGACGTAATCCCATCTGACTGGTCTCACTCACTGATTGTGCCAGTCTATAAGAAAGGACAAAAGACCTCTTGTGACAGTCACAGAGGAATCAGTTTGACTAATGTAGTGTCTAAAATATTAGCCTCAGTAATACTTCGACGCCTAACTAAAGCTCATGAAGAGCAGACCAGAGAAAACCAGGCTGGTTTTCGACCTGGACGTGATTGTATAGACCAGATTTTCACACTACGTCAGGTTCTAGAGCACAGACACACGTTCAGACGCCCCACAATGGTAGTATTTCTCGACCTTAAGGCGGCATTTGACTCTGTTGATCGTGAGGTTCTGTGGCAGTGTTTGTCACTGAAAGGAGTGCCAAGAGGTACATTAACCTTATAAAGGCTCTCTACTCGAACACAACTGGTCGAGTGAGAGCTTATCGCGAATTGTCATCAGAATTGGTTACTTCAAGGGGTATTCGTCAGGGCTGTCCACTCTCTCCATTCTTGTTCAACTTTGTCGTCGACGTACTTTTAGAGATAACACTTTCCTCGTCTAGATTTCCAGGGGTTGAACTTCTACCAGGAGGTTCACTTGTTGACTTAGAATATGCTGATGACATAGTTTTATTTGGCGAAGACGCTGACAAAACGCAGTCTTATGATCACTCTAAGCAACAATGCAAGCATGTTCGGGATGCGATTCTCCCCCTCGAAATGCAAAATGTTGCTTCAGGATTGGGTTGCATCGACACCCGAACTGATGATAGGGAGTGAAGTAATTGAGCGTGTCGACCGCTTCACTTATCTTGAAAGTCTCATCAGCCCTTGTGGTCTGGTGTGTCACGAAGTCTCAGCATGAATACAGAGGGCTCGACTAGCTCTTGCCAACTTGCGTCATTTATGGCGTAGGCGAGATATCCGTCTATCAACCAAAGGACGAGGTTGCTGTGCAGCAGTTCGTTCCGTCCTACTTTATGGCAGTGGAACATGGCCGGTAAGAGTAGAGGATATTCGTAGGTTACTAGTATTTGATCATAGATGTCTTCGAAACATCGCTCGTATATCCTGGGACCATCGAGTAAGTAACGCAGTTGTTAGGAAACGGGTACTAGGTAATCATGGCAAATCGATTGATGAGGTGGTGAAACTTCATCAGTTGAGATGTCTGGGACACGTGTTACGTATGTCCAACCACCGACTGCCTCGACGTACGATGTCCAATTGTGTAGGATTAGGACGGAAGAAAACTAGGGGCGGCCAGACCAAAACATGGCACAAGTCCATGAAGTCACTGACAGGTGGACTAAGTCATGTTGGTAGGTGTAGACTACCTGGTTGGGGACCGCGATATGATAGCGACCGATAGTTAGAGACCCTGAATGACAGGGCTCGAAATCGTTCCCAATGGCGCAGGTGCATACACTCTTTGTGTCTTCCCAAATTTTAATCTGCTGATTCCTCCTTGCCTCTTTTTTCTCTTCCCAAATTTATTTTGATGGATTATACTGTTTAAATAACATCTCCAAACCCTACTCTTTCCGATTACTGCATATACTCTTACTACCTCTACCACTATGGGATTTGAATTGACAACTGCATGTCTGTGCTAATTTGGTATGGCAACTCGAACTGATGTACGTACGTACGAAGTTCTACGTTTTTACTGACTGACTGAACGAACAGAGACTCCAACTTTCGTCGTACTTTATGTTATACACTGTCTGCATAGATATGTATATAAACTGTTGTTTATCTGGAATACATCCTTGCCTTTCAAAATTCTGTTGTATGATGTCTCACTGTGAACTACATTTCTATTGTTGTGCGTTTCACCCCAAAAGTCCACAGTCAGTATCTCGTATAAAAGTTGAAAATAGATATTCTCCGCCGAGGTAAGGAATGTTACACACATTGAGTATACAGATAAAATAAATGATATTCAAGCTGTGCTTAACCAGTTCATGACCAATTTTCTTAAGTAAAGTGAATATTTGAGTTATTTACACAACTGATACAAACAATTAGTGAGGTCTTTTTTCAATACATCTATTGTTATTAATTTTTTCCATCGAATGTTTCATCAGTCTCCATATTGACTCGTCATGATAGAAATATAAGTTATATATGTTAAAAGCACCCAAAAAACTTTGGGAAGTCTTCAAAAGCTGGTTAAAAGCTTAAAATATTTCATGCAATTATAGTTCGCTGTGTATTTTCCAGAGAGCTCCGTAAAAACAATGAATTTTGTATCATATATCTATTTGGTTAACAATTTTGGCGCATTTCTAGAAGCTTATTTTACATCATGGTCACATGCAAGCTCATAAATATCCCTGTCTTCCTTGATTAAATAACCTTGAAAGTAAAGATTCTTTTAATACTTCTCTCTTTTTATCTTCTGTTTAGCGCTCCAACGCAAAAAAAAATTTCTTTGAGAGGAGGAAGAGTTTAGAAATTTAGCGTCAAGCATTCCAATACCAGACTTATAGAATGAAATGTATTGGTCGAATTTTGTAGTTTAGTTAAAAAAAATTGAACCACTCTAATTCCAAGTGATAAACTATTATCCAAAGGATTACATAATTTATTATGAAAATAAAAATGTCGTTTATACACAAAATATGCTATGCAGTTCACTTGTTTTGTATTCAAATGATGCCCATCAAAAGTAATCAATATTCATGGGTACGAAGAGATACGTATACCATCAGTGAAAAGTCTAGAAATATGCTGTGAAGTGATTGATTACCAAGTAGTGATCGATGTCATATTTATCTAGCTTTTCAGCCCTAATCAAGTTCTACCAACCAAATTGAAATTTGGTCAACTAATCTAGATGACTCGAAACCATATGCGCTACATTTTGATGTCATGTGGTTGGGGTAAGTTGGTAGGATATGTTTTCCCCATATCATGGTGATTTATTCATTTGACATATTAAATATTATATAGCTTTGTGAATATACAACTAAACATTTCATATCTTATATGATATGTGATATTATGGTACACTCCCAAACATTTCAGACAGCATTACTGTTGATGAAAAACAGTACAATTTTCCTTGTATTATTATTACTATGGTTTCGAATTATACTATGGTTACTTAAAATTGAATCTTGTCGATATATGTACAACCTACATGGGTCACTTCAATATTAGCATTAGTTATGGGGCAGGTGAACCCAACTGATAAGTCTCAAATTCGAACAGAATAATTATCCTAAAACTTTATTGTTAACCACAGTTCAAACTTTATTAATAGCATTTTATTATGTCAGAAGGAGTTTGTGGAGATTTTAGAAACTTCACAGCTTGAAATCATGAGTCAATTGAAGCTAGATCATCGTGGAAAACCTGAAAACACTGGATGGCCGTTTCGTCCTAGTATGGGAATCCTCAGCAGTGAGCATCCATGATCCCGCACCCCGCGAGATTCGAACTCAGGACTTACCGGTCTCGCACCAGGCACTTAACCAACTAGACCACCGAACCGGCATCTAACGGTGTTAATGTCTAACTTCAACCAATCCACGAAGTGAGAAGCCGTTACCAGTGGAGTTCAACCAGGTCTGTTGTGAGATATCAGCTCACTGAAGACAATGGTGTATGATGGCGCAACTTCGTGGATTGGTTGAAGTTAGACATTAACACCGTTGGATGCCGGTTCAGTGGTCTAGTTGATTAAGCGCCTGGCGCGAGACTGATAGGTCCTGAGTTTGAATCTCGCGGGGTGCGGGATCATGGATGCGCACTGCTGAGGATTCCCATACTAGGACGAAACGGCCATCCAGTGTTTCCAGGTTTTCCACGATGATCTAGCTTCAACTGACTCATGATTTCAATCTATGAAACATTTTATGTAATTACTAAAAAGCATTAAAATTATCCCATCAACACTGTGATGCAAATACATTCAGCTTACAAGTCCTGAGTACAATGAAACATGTGTACTTAAATTTCACTGTTAAATACAATCTATCCATTCTATAAAGATTACTAGAGTTGTTTTATTCTCCTATAGTATTAATGTCTAATGTTCTTCATTAAATAATACAGTATTTACTATAAGTAACTAAGAAATACCCACTGAATACACAGTAGAAAAGAATAGTATTTACATATATATATACAAGTGGAATATAACAATCTTCACTTAC